TAATCAGAAGTTCAACATTAATCTTTTCCCTACTGGTAATATTATCTCTACCAATCTCCTTCATTCCCTAACTATTTCGTTTACATATGTTTAAATTAAAAAGGAGGTGTTTTTCAGTGCTTCTAATTCAACACCGAGATTAGATTTCTTCAACTTTGAGTTTTATAAATTGACTTAGGTGGTCACTGGCCCTACAATTTGCAATGCTGTGAAATATTTTTACAATAATGCTTACATTCCTCGAGCTGCTAAGTCAACAATCATGACTCTCATTCCCAAAACCAGTCATGTAGAGGCTATCATTGACTTTCAGCCAATTTCTCTTTGCAACACCTGTTACAAAATTATTGCTAAAATTTTGGCTGCTATAATGAAACCTATAATGCCTTATATCATTAAAGGGAATCAAACTGGCTTCATTTAGAATAGGATCTCTATTGAAAATGTTATTTTAGCCAATGATATCCTCTTCCATTCTATAAATAATGCTAAGTTTAAGCTTCTTTATGCCAAGCTTGATTTCAAAAAAGCTTTTGATAGTGTTTCTAGGGAATTTCTTATTGCAAGGATGGCTTATAAAGGTTTTCCTAACATGTTTATCAAATGAATTAAAGCGTGCATTAATGATATATGGTTTTCTTTATGCATTGATGGGGCTCTTGAAGGGTTTTTTCTCTCATCTTCTGGGCTTAGGCAGGGATGTCTCTTAAGTCCTTATCTTTTTTGTAATGTCATGGAAGCATTTTCCTGTGTGCTGGATTGTCCTTATAATGATGCTATGTTTGATGCGCTTAACATTGATGGGTTTCATATTTCTCATCTTATGTATGCTGACAATCTTATTATATTTGGGAAAACTGATGTTAATAATTGTGAGATTCTCTGTCAGTTACTTAAGAAATTTTTTGATGCTTCAGGTTTGGAAGTAAATTTTTGGAAGAGCTCCATTATTTTGCCCCCAAACTGTTAAAATGCAAACATCATTTGCTCTATCTTTAATATCCCCTCCACCTCCACTTACATATGTTATCTTGGGATTCCTATATCACCTTTTAACCCAAAGCTCTCTAGCTTTCAAAACTGATGGAAATTGTTACTCATAAACTCTATGGTTGGAAAGCTAAAGCTCTATCGTTTACCGATAGATTACAGTTTTTGCGGTTCACTATTTGGAACACTATTGCTATTAGATTCGTGGTTCTATCCATTGATAAACTATGAACAAAAATTCTCTATTTTGGTGATTCCACCGGTCGCAAACTGCATTTAATCTCCTGGAAAAGCACCTGCAAGCCCAAAACTTTGGGAGGACTTGGTATTCCCTCCTTACATTATGTGCATTTCATCTATTACTATTTTCTTATTGAGAGGATTTACAACTACAACAAGCCCCTCTCTACTTAGCTTTTCAATATATATTAGTCCACTTGGAAACCGCCAGCTTCTAAATCCTATTTATTATAGAAAAACTTATGTAAAGATGCCCACCTAGCTAAAGGTAATTTCCACTTTAAGGTTTCATCAAATTCTCTAATATCCCTTTAATGGGATCACTGGTTAAATGGTAAATTGCTGAATGAGATCATGGATATGCACCCCATCTTAAATCGTTTTCCCACCAAAGCTAGAATTTTGGTCATTCTTAAGGATCATGCATGGTTGGGATATGCCCTCTGAATTGCCTACTACTCTTCTCCAAACCCTCTCTGTCATTCCTATTGGTTCGGATGCTAATGGTTGCCTATTTTGGGGAAATGGGAATGAAAATATTCACAGCTCTTATCAAGCCTATTTTTACAAGGATAATATTAAGGTAAATTGGCATCATTTCATTTGGCACAAGCATTATTTCTTCATTCTGTTGGATGGCTTTAAAAGGCAGGCTTAAGACTGCAGATGTTCATCTTTCTAAGGGTATTATTGTGAATGCTTTATGTCCTCTCTGTCATTCCTCTGCTAAAATCGTTATGTACCTGTTTTTTGTATGTGACTATTCTTTTACTGTTATAGCCAAGCTAATTCTCATTTTGAGGACCCTGAAGTTTGTTAGGGATGTTAAGCCCTTATGAACTAGCCCGATGCTAACCAAGAGGGGGGGGGGGGGGGGGGGGGGGGGGGGGGAGGGGAGGGGGTGAATTAGTGTTTTAAAAATTTCTTAAACCAAAGATAAATATCTTTTTGAAATATTTTAAAATCACAAACCAAACAATCATTAACCATAAAAATAAAGTGTGGAAATTAAATTCGGAAATGCAGTAAGAAAGAACACGGATATTTATAGTGGTTCGGTCAACTTGACCTACGTCCACTCCCCAGAGCCTCTCATCCAGGTATTGCACTAAACTCAGTAACTCTCCTTTTGCTCCCACAGCAAGGCGGAGAAGCCTGTACAAACCACCTTTCCACAAACTCCGGTGAGGCAGAGAACCCGACTCCTTTCGCTTCCTCCTGAAGTAGGAAGAGAACACGACTCCTTTCACTTCCTCCTGAAGCAGGCAAAGAACCCAACTCCTTTCGCTTCCTCCTGAAGTAGGTAGAGAACCCAACTCTTTTTGCTTTCTCTTGAAGCAGGCAGAGAACCTCGATCAATTGCTGAAGTAGACCTCTCTAGAACCTCCAAGGAACTAGGGACGACGACTGAAGAAGATAGCGTGGATCCTTGCTTGGAAAAACCTTTGTGAACCCTCACAAACTTCCCCACACAAGATCCTCCATCTCTCTCCCTCTCCTCTTGGCTCTCTCACGTCAGGACAATAACAAAAGATAACCTCTCGAGTAAACAAGAGAGCTTATAATGAAGGGATTTAAATTTGCCCTTTTTGTAATTAATCGACAAAGATCATCCAGGACGATCTATATACATCCCGTACGATCAGTACAAATTAAGCTCAATCAGCTAGGATGATCTGGAGGAGGTCGGACGATCAAAGGATTTTTTGTTCTAATCGTCCAGGATGATTGGACATTATCCTGTATGATTAATTCAAAAATGTTGAGTATCATCCAGAAAGTCTCTCTGTTCGCCCAGACTTTATATGTCTAGACGATGGAAAAATAATGTATCGTCTAGGATGATTAGCTCAAAATTTGAATATCATCCATATAGTCGCTCTGTTCGGTTAGACATTATATTCTCGGATGATAGAAAAAATAACTGGTCGACCAAGACGATTTGTGATCGATCCGGACGATTAGTTTAAATCAATACATATCATCCAAAATATCGCCATGGTCATCCAAGAAGAAACTAAGGTTTGTATAATTGAACGTCCTGGATGATATGATCAATCATTCAAACTTTAATTATTTTTCTTAATTACCAAACTAATTTATGCATAACTGTAATGCATCATCCAGAATGATGTCCATGATGATGTCCAAAAATAAAACATGCCTAAAAGATTTGGCAGCAGATTCTTTATGATTTGAGCCTATCGTCCAATATGATGCTAATATCGTCAAGGACGATTTGCTTAATTGTGAATGCCTTAACCAGGATGCCCTAATTAAGGTTTCTATTTTTAACTGATCGTCTAGGAAAATTTTGGATCGTCCCGGACGATATGATCAAAAGCAGAAAACTCTAAAAAAATAAAAAAATTTTCACCGAGTGTGTGTGTGCAAGGTTACTTAGCATCATGATCCACTTTGCTACAATTGACTCAAGAAAAGGCAAAAAACATCTTGACGTGCAATTACAAACTGACTCACTCCTAGTCTACCCAATCTTGAGCTGGATTGATTTATAATTGGCCTTTTGGATCTGAAACGCTAGCTAGTAGGCAAGACAGTTGTAGAAAAATAGAAGTGTCAGAAATATTTGCTATCATCAAAATTATAATTCCTAAATTCATATTCGCTACAGACCCTCCTAGTTAAACCCAATATCCTGCAAGCCTTTGAATATACTGTTGAGAATCAGGCAAGGGTTAAGCCCTTTTATTATCTTTTAATTTGTTGCTTAGTTTACCACCTTTTGAGGGAAAAAAATGATAGAAAATTTGGCAATTCTTATGCATCTTCTTCCACGTTATGCTTTAAGATCAAAACTATCGTATTCTCTAAATTTACGAAATGGAAAAATAGGCACATGCTTATGGATATGCTTTAAACATGGTTCTCTCTCGGTTTGGATAGTTTTTCTTTTGTCCTGGTGCTGTTGTGGCTGAATTCAATGCTGATTTTTTTGGTTGGTAGGCAAAGATGACCGAATTGCACATTTTCTCCCTTTGGACGATAGTTTTTCTTTCTCTTTTGGATCATCTGCAACCAGGTTGATAGAATGTTGCAATTCTTGAGCCCGATAGTTCTCATTCTACTAACCTTCGATCAGAGTTTTTGTGGGCTGAAGTTTAGTAGGTGTTTTGTATATCTGTTGTAACTCCTTTTTTTATTGTGCTTATGCACCTATTGTTTCTTTTTTGTTGTTCCCTTTTTTTTCTAACATGTAATTATTTTTCATCAATGAAAACGGGTTAAGCCCGTATTTTTCAAAAAAAAAAAAAAAAAAAAAAATTATCCCTGATAAACCCCAAAAAAAAAAAGATAAATTATCCCTGATATAACCGCCTAAGGCACGAATTTTTATTGCGTCCTCCCACCTGACGTAGAGATACGTCCTCCCAGAGCTAAATTCGCGCTAAAAAACGAGAAATACCGAGCAATACCAAACAATAACGAGGAATATCATCATGTGAAGACCAATACCGAGTTATACCGAGCAATACCGAGCAATACAAAAAAATACCTAGTTTTTCCTAGAAAAAACTCGGTATTTTTTTGTATTGCTCGGTATAGCTCGGTATTGGTCTTCACATGATGATATTCCTCGTTAGTATCAAATAATACCTAGTAATACCGAGCAAAAACCGAGTTTTTTAACGGTGAGAAGACGTATCGCTACGTCAGGTGGGAGGATGCAATAAAAATTCCTCAGGCACATACGACCCAATTGGATTTTATAACAGTGACGAGATTTTCTTAACAAAATTCCCTTCTATTTCTTTGTCAATTTCGAAACCGGAGGACCTGTTAGTCTCATCTCAATCGATTCTCACACCACAGGGAGCTCCAACAGTTCCGCGACCATGGCTGCGACGTGGGCCCAGAAAACCATCGTTCTTCCACCCCAGAAGCGAGGCTGCCATCTAGTCACCTCAAAGGTTTATTTCCCAACCCTAGTTCAAATTTCTGAAGTTATTTTTGTTTGAGTTCTCGCGGATAATTTTGTTCCTGTTTCATTTATCTTCTTCCCTTTTACTATTTCAATGAAATGCGTATTTTTGTACACTTTATCGTCCATGTCTTATGCTTATTGAACTGTGGCATTGGCAATTTAAAGGCTAAGTGCGGATGTTTAAGTGTCAAACGCAATACTTATGTGCAATTGTCCAACCTTTCAGCGAATGTATATTTTTTCCTTATCCAATTTTTATTTGTATAAACGTTTGAGTTAGTAGAATCAGGGAAAAATGTGTTAGGACCTTCTGATCCATTTCCTGTCAGGTGGGCCTTAAAATCATGACATGATATATTTTAAAGTCTAAATAACATGTTTAACAATTTATATTAAAAATTGAGTTATTTATAGTTATATATATATTGAAGATATAAAATTTAATTTTGAGTATATTTGTTCCAAATGTTGAAAATATTTGTGCCCATAAAATTCTGTTTTTTTAATAGAACCCTAAATCAAAAGTGAAGACATTTATAATACTTTAAAAATTAAAGTAATAAAATTTGAAGTTATTGACATGAAATATAGAGAAAAGTGATGTCATACAATTTGGGAATATAATTAAATATTTAAAAAAAAGTGTAATTTAAAGTGTCACAATTCTGAAGTGATCCTGTTAGAAACATATCATGCAGTCTTGACGTAATTTTTCCCCTAGTGTTTTGGTATCGATGAGATTGTTTCCTCGTTAGTTAAGGTTTTTGAAATTTTGATTGAACGGTTTTTTTTCAAATGAAATATATACCTTGAGTTTATCTTGCCAATGGATTATCATTGATTGAGAGAATTTTCCAAAATGTTGGCAGCGTTTGAATTGTTCTTCAAATAATTGCATAGTGTTGCTTAAAGATTACAAGGATTCATTTTTATAGAAACATATGCTTTCGTTCATTTGATTGTGGAATATAGCATCTTATGCAGTTGAATTTATAGTGATGCTAAACTTTGTTCATTAGTGCAAGTATTGGCAATGTTAACCCTTGTGCCTGCATGCATATCAATTCATTTGTGCATACAAATACTTCTGCCTTTGTGCGCATGATACTTTTTTGAAAGGATTTGATCCCCTGAACTCTTCATTAGAGGGAAGGGGTGAATTCCACTTGGTTGGTTATCTGTGGTAATTACTACACTACAGACGCAAAGAAAGGGCAAATTAGTATTCAATAATGTATAGAGGAAACAATTGAATTAAAAAATAAGAAATTTATTGGCCTGTTTTTCTACTTAAATCTTTTAACACCTAATCAAGCTTTTTGCCATATCTCCATTTTAGCTTTGGAAAATAATAACTAGCATTTGTTAGGCAGAATAATGCTCTTGTTCTATATTGACAATATTTGTTGATTTGAGTTGCTTTCTATTTAAACTTTAATTTTGATGTTTATATCCTCATATCACCCATTTTTCTCATAGATTTTCTATTTAAACTCTTCTGCTACCATCCCAAGCTTATCCATACACTTTGCTTGTAATTCATTTTGTACCGATAACCTTGGCCCACACTACATAATTTTTATGTATTTACACATCTAACTCCTAATTCTTTATATTTACTTATATAAAACTCTAATATCTAAATCACATAAAAAATATCAGTAACATTAAATTATCTAAAGTGAAATAGAACTTATTCATGATATTTCTAATGTAATTTAGATATTAAGATCTTATATAATTAAATATAAAAATTTAATTGTTTGGCATGTAAATATTTAAGAATTCTATATTTATGTAAATCTCCCTATTATAGATTCAAAATGATGTCCACTCAGGATTTGGTGGCACTAATAAAGTTTTTTGAAATAATTTCACAGACCGACTAAAGGAGCCGTTAGGAAAACATCTCATCCAAGTTGAGAATGTTCTCCTTTCTTCTAAAGTTTTAATATTAAAAATGTGAGATGACATAATTTTTAAATTGTGCCAAAGAATAGCAACTACTGAATATGTGATAGAACTAATAAAGCCCTTCTAAATATTGCGAGTGACATTGGAATTGATAGAATCATTATTATGGTCTTTTTAAATCATTTTTACCTTTGTTGATAGATTTGAATTTTGATATCCAAAGCATGATAAGAATTTCTTATATTTATATTTAAGACTATGTTTTGTAAATTTTCATGTAGAATTAAGATTAGGTATGCAATATTATATTTTATTCAGATTCAAAATTTGTTAAGGAAAAAAAAAAGGAACACAAATAAATTAAAAAAATAAATAAACGTAAGTTAGCCCGGACCCATTCTGCGGCTGGTGACACTCTCGATTTCTCTCATAGAAATCTCACTCTCGTCCTCTCTCAAGAAGAACCCAAGTGTGGAAAACATAAAATTTTCATATTCATTCACCATACATTACAATAGCTTAAGGCCCTTATTTATAGGTCATAACATGAGAAAATAGAAAAATTACAAAAATACCCTTGGGCCACAACACTCAAATAAATTAACTTAGGGGTAAATTAGAAAATAACATAAAATAGAAACTAAAATGCAGAAAATAATTCATAAATGACAACTTAAATTAGAGCCGTCGATTTACGACGCCTCCTGTGATAGATGCACCAGATCTTCTTGCCGATGTACGCATCAGAGGTCCCTCTACCCTGGTAGATGCGACCAATGGTGATAACCTTATTATTGATTTAATAGACATACAAGGTCCTTCTGTGTCGAATTAAAAAAAAATGGCCACCTCACCAAATTATCGTGAAGGATGTTCTCCACCTTGTCACTTGCCATTCATTTCATAACAATCTTCTTCATATAAAAACCCATAACTCTTCTTCGATTGATGTTGCTTGATATTTTCAAAATTCACTGTAAATTTATCACTCTTTTAGTCTTTTATGAAATTTAACTCTGTACTTTGCTGGATGAATAATCATTCATTTCACCTCCCTAGTCATTACCTTCCTAATGTTTTTTGAGGGTTCTTCTTTCCCCTCCGAATATTGCTGGTATCAACAGTCATCCAATCCTTCCAAGTATTAGGGAATCGAAAGATCCTTGTCTTGAACCGACCAATATTGCTCAAGGGAGGTTCAACTGATTTAGCCTCAACGTAAGTCATATTTTTTCACCTAATGCATGAATTTTGATGATAAGGCCAACTCATTCACAACCATTCATTTCAGGTAAACACCAAGCATTTCTTGGCTATTCTACCTAAATAGCTCTTGTTTATGTCTGGAAATAGGCCTCAGAGTTAGTTGTTTAAGTGTTTTATTTATGGCTAGAGCTTTGGAAGTTTGATGAAATCCTCTTTCTAGTAGTGGGTTTCTTCCCCTCCAAATCAAGTAGTAATACTTACTATCAGCAATAGTTCTCCTCAGGGGTGTGTATGATTGCTTATGCTCTTACATGCACATGACACGACTACTAGCTAAGAAATTTTTGTCTTCAAAATATCAGTAGCGCCAGATTTGTTTCTAACATGTAAGAACCTTTCTCCCAAAATAGTTTACTTTATCATGTAACGAATATAATTTGTAATATTATTTTATATCTTTAAAGTTGCTTTCAATAATATCTTTGTACTTATATATATATATATATTCATTTCCTGCTCTCATTTATTTTTTTTGTCTTAATCAGATATTGAAGGACATTGATCAAGAGCTTAAAGGTTTCAAATGCGGTCTTGCTCATTTTTTCTGTAAGTGAGATTGGTTATATTCGTCTTGTTGTTGGATATATGAATTGATGATAAATGGCGTTGTAAATCAGTGCAACATACAAGTGCTTCATTGACCATAAATGAGAATTATGACTCAGATGTACAGGCTGACACTGAAACTTTCCTCAACCGTATAGTTCCAGAGGTGATTGTATTTCTTTCTATGAGTTTTGAAGATGCATCATATTTTTAGATTTCTTAGGGAAATATATATATCTAGTAACTGAGACTTGAATTTTTTATTTTTGTACACAGGGACGATCTGCACCCTGGAAGCATACAATGGAAGGTTAGAATTTGACTTTATCTTATTCGTGTAACTTCTTCTTCCAACATTCATTATATTTTTGTAAGGACTAAACAATACTTCTGTGGTATTTGATCATCTCATTCTAAATTTAGAATGTTCTATGGAAATGTATAGATTGAAAAATTGTTTAAAGTGATATTTGAAATCGATGAATGCCTAAAAATGTGGTCTGCATTAAGTTGTTTCGTGATGCCCAATGGATACTTGTAATGGAGTATCCACGAAGGTCTTTTATGAATGAAACAAATGAGTGAAAATTACAACAGATTTAGTTACTAAATGCGCTGTAGAGAAATGGCTTGGAAGAAATGGCTGCGTTTGAGTATTCATAATTAGTGCAACTTGAAATGCGAAGATGTTTTCTTTCTTTGAATCATTAAGTGCTTACCTAACACACGCTTTAATTCTCTGAAGCGCACATCTATCAACTAGAAAACCTGAAGTTTGATTTAGAGAACATATTACTGGGTATTAAAACTTTCAAGAACCTTCATTAGAAAAGTAAAACTGTGACATTATAAATCAAATATTAACAAAAAACTTGGTACTAAATGGCAAAAAAATTTAACTTAACATAATAAAATTAAAAAAAGGCTCTGAGTGCATTATTAAAGAAATAAACATAAAAATAGAACAAAATGCTAATTGTAAAGTCTCTTCATGCTTAAGAAATTATTGAACATGTATTTAAAAAATATACACCATTGCATTAAACAACATATGAAATATTAAAGCAACACCAACAACCACTTGAGTTTGTCATAAACTTATGCAATCAAGCGGCCTTTAGCTTAGGGAGATCATTACATGTAACTTTTTTTGCGATATATAAATTTGCATTTAACTTATTATTTGTGTTAACTGAGTAATATTTATTCTATGTAAGGATGTAAATTTGACCTTTAGATCTAAGGTCACAACAAAATTGGATCTCTAGGTCATAATGTGCTTGGATCAAAATCATCAAGCTAATTAATGAGCAAGATCCAACTTAAATCGAACTCGAATTGAGTCAAGAATAGTGGACGTCTTAGGATCTAGAGTATCACTAGAATAGATCTAATATGAATGGCACAAAATAAATATAAAAAAATTCCAAATTCATAGTTCACCAACTTTTAATTTAGGCAATATCTCATTTATTTTGATGAAAATTAGAAAATATATAGGATCCATTTTAAATGATTGTTTAAAGATTATCCAAAATAAAAAATATACATATATATGAAAGCCGAGATTGAATAAAAATTATGCAGAAATTAGGATACATCACTAAGGAAAACTAGATTATAATAGACTAGATCAAATCTTAGTCATATATGTGAAAATCAATTAAAAATTATGTAAAAACAAAATATGGAAATGAAGCAGGTGGCCTTTTATCTTCATGCATTATTGAGATTTGCATGTGATAAAAATCAAATTATGGAATTATGTGGGTGGTTTTAATTTGATTATGGAAATGAAAATATTTTGGAAGTGTGGTTTGATTTTCATTATATGTTTCTTGCATGTGTATGGTAATGATTTGGCCTTGAATTGTAGCACATATGAGAAAACTCTCGAGGGGCAAACAATGTTTGATCAAAATCCCTTTATTTGAATGCATTCTGATGCTCATTCTTCAAGCTTCATGTAATGCTCCTACTTATGATATAGTTAGTTGTCTTTGTACATGAGATTCTGACATCATATATGGTTAAGAATATATTATAATAAAAACCTCAAATGTGTTGTATAGAATGTGTTTTTTTGAATTTTGTTCAACAAGTCAAACTTTCTCTTTAAATTTTAAGCTCCTCTGATGATTTATAGAAAATGTTGTAGAAAACTTTAATATTCAAACTTTAGGTCAAGACTTTTGGATTGAATATTTCATTTTGTGAAAACAGGATAAATTTTTTTCTTCAAAAACTCAAAACTAGCATGTAAATAATAATTTATTTTGAAAGATTTTCTTCCTTATTAAAAAAGGAATATTTTTTCTTTTTTATTATTATATGGTTGCAATAAATTTAAAAATAATTTGATCAAAGACACTATAGTTTATCAAAATTTAAAATTGATTCATTAGTTGAGTTTATTGATAGAATTCATCGTTTTCACTTTATAAAGAGGCAACGAAAAGATATACCTAGGAATATGTTATAAACTTGGAATATAGATTCTCTTATAGGGAAATTAGTGGAATTAATAAATATTATGATTCATAGAAAGATAAATATTCTATACATTCAAGAAACTAAATGGATTTGAGAGAAGGCTAAGGAGATTGATATTTTATGATTTAAACTATAGTATTCAGGTAGAAGTTATACAAGAAATAGTGTATGTGTGATTATAGATAAGAGTTTGAAGGATAATACTATAAAAATTAATAGAATTGAAGATAAATTTATTGCTTTAAAAATTGTTGTTGATGTTAAGATTATTAACATTATAAATGCTTATGCTCCTTAGATATGTTTGGATATGTATTCAAAATTAAAATTCAGATTGAGGGTATTTAATAATGGATATAGTAACATTCAGATTGATTGTTTTCTTATACAAAATAGATTTCTTAGATTGCAAAAATTGTAAAGTTATTGCGAGTGAAAGTTTATGTACCTAACATCACTTATTAATTTTGGACTTTAAGATGAGGAGGTAGGATTATTGCAACTCGGGCTTCCGAGTTTATGATTTTGATGATAACAAATAATATTGATTACCTTTTTATTTATCATAGTATTTGTAGTGCATATTTATTTGTGTGTTGACTAATATTTCAGGTGCACCATGCACAATTCTTTGAAGATTCATGGATCAAGATTGTGTATAATAGTTTAAGTTAAATGAGTCTGTAATTTTCATTGCTTGAGTCAAGCCCTGTAATGTTGTCTGTTAGCTTGGTGATCGTGCGCACATACACAGGAGGAGCAAAAATGAATTTAAGTATTTTAATTTTTCTGTACATCGTACTGAACGATATGGATCGTACTGTATGATCTAGTGTTACATAAGTTAATTAAAATATTTTATTTTTTCCGAGAAAAATATTTTTGAAATATAAGTAATCGTATAGTACAAACACTATATCGTACTGGATGATCTGTTATAATTAGAAAGCTCGCTATCTATTAAATTAGACAAAAATTTGAAATTTAAAAAGTTGTTCTAATCAAGGTTTAAAATTGCGTAATTGGGTATTGATGTGTTTTTCTTTCGTGAGGCGAGGCATAAGCCTCAAGGCGTTTTGAGGCGTAAGCCTCAAAATTCAAAAGTTATGTAAAGTGAAAATAAATGTTAAAAATAATTTTTTATATAATACTCAAATAACATATTAAAAAATAACATATTAACTCTCTATTGAACTATGAAGTAACAAATTAACATAAATATGAAATAAAAATTGCACAAGACGTAAAGTGACAAGTGATAAATTGCGTGAAATAAAACAACATGAAATATATGAATCACATAAAAGTATCCTGTAATATTAAGTTCAACTCCAAATTCCTTCTTTCTTAGTTTCCTACCAATCCACATTCAATTCCTAAAAAAAGCTAACATAATTGACAACAAATCAAAAATCATTTGTACCGTCATTAATGAGGGGTCTTTATTTCGTCTTCATAGCAAATTAATTTCTCCCCTGTCTCATCCTGTGGAGTTTAATACCTCTTAATCTATTTTTTTTCATTTATTTCAATAATCTTTTTCTTTCATAAATATTTGTCATTAGCATAAATATATGAATAATACTAAAAAAAAATTAGAGGAAGTGGTGGTGGTGTGTGGCTTTCACGTGATTCCCGACGGTGGCTACGAAGGTGATGACTATGAAAAAGGTGGTGGGCAAGAGGTCGAGGTTGTTGAGAGGAAGTTGTTGCGGTTTGAGGGTTGCACGAAGGCTTGATTTGTTAGGGTCTTTAGTTTAGGGTTTGAATAAGTTTATATATATATATATATATTGGTTGAGGCGTATGCCTCACGCTAGTAAGGCGAGGCATGCCTTAAGGCGGGCGGGCCTCAGCTAAACTGAGGTGTAAGCCTCATAAAAAAAGCTGGAGGCATAAGCCTTGAAACATTTTTCTTTGGAATTGCGTTGAGACATGCCTCAAGGTGAGCCTCATATTGCGCAATTTTAAACAATGATTCTAATCGTATTGTATGATTCTGATCATACTGTATGAGCTGGATCGTACTATACGATCAACAGAGACGATTTTTGCACATCGTACTAGACG